CCCCCCCAAAAAGAAAAGAAATCGTCTAGCATATGCTAGTAAAAAGGCTGCCCTTTATGAGATGAAATACATAAAGGAAGTACAAATTTTCAAGTTCTTGAGTTGCGTTAGTCAATTAACTTGAAGTCAAAATCTGATTTAAAATCTGCTATATGTATGCTATATATATATATATGACAGTGTGGATATGCTTTTAGACAATATTTAGCTCTCAGACTTTATACTGAAACCATTCAGATCAACATGTTGGTGCATCTTTCCCACTCTGGTTTTCATATAAGAAATTTATATACTGTAATGACATTTCTTTGAAGCCTACTTTGATAAACCTAATATCCAACTGTTTTTGTGGAGTCTTGAATATCCTGGATTGGATTCAACAGGATCAAACTGTTAGGATAGAGATCCTGAGATGATTGCTGGCACTTGACACAGACCGTGAAGATTAACAGATCTGAAATGTCAAAGTGGTCACTGTAATGTGGTGAAAAAGGGAGAAAGAAATGGGATACTCCCTTGCAAAATAATGTTCCATAAATGAACCCGTGACCTGGTTAGAAAATTGGATTCTAAGAATATAATGATATAAAATATCAGAGCGTACGTTTTTTCAGACACAACAAAATGGCAACAAAGTTATCCTATTTACTTGATTTTGAGCTGAAATGTCTTCCTATTTAAAATTAACACCCACATTTTTCCCACTACCCTGTGTTTATGCACAGTATCACTTGATATTCCATTCCCACAGAAACCTGGATCCAAATAAAGGTTCCTTTAAACAGATTGGATGGGCGTTTAATTGTTTTGACTGGAATCATACATATACAACCTCGAAAGAGAACATGTTGATAAAAAAAAGCTCCAAATAGAGCCAGTTCCTGCACACAAGATTTCAAAAGAGTGAAGCAAATGCTGTTGTCCCCTTAACAACACCTCACTAAACGTACTGTTAATCAACCAACCACTCAAAACAACCGTCTTCCAGTGTTACTTTTGCTGTTATGGAGATGGGAAATGAGGTGGAAAGAACGGGGGGGGACTCCTGTGACATCTGGTTGCTGAAATAACACTGTTAGCTGACAGGGGGCATTCCTGTGTACCTGCAGGGGCATTCAGACGGAGCCTGCAGGACTGAAATAGCTCCGAGATAATCTCGCCCAAAATGGGTATTTATGCCATCTCCCCCTGAGGCGTCAACTTCACGCATATCCGTGCCAAGAATCTCCTCTTGCCTATTGAGAACCAGAATAACTTCCCAGCCTCCAGATTGGTCAAGGGTGATTTAAGACAATACAAACACTGTCTGAAATGCAACTGAAACTGGGAGTGTAAATGGGGGCAGTTTCTGAGCTTGTTTTAATAAAGGACAAATTCTTAAAAAGTATGAGAAAGACCTACAGTTGTCGTAAGAAGATCATCAGCTCAAAGGCACAAGTTTGGCCTTTTAATGCTTTCTTTGATCTGTTCTTTTTCCAGAGTGTAAGTTTTTATTTGACCACTCTTCTTGGTAGAATTGATTGAGTTCATTTAAATTGGCATCCAACCTTTAAGCATAGTCTACAAACTTTCAATAGGGTTGATGTTGGGGCTTTGTGAAGGCTATTCCAGAAACTTAATGTTAGCCCTCTTTCCATTCCAAAGCCAGTTTTGATGTGTGCTTGGGATTATTGTCCTGTTAGAGCACCCAGATGTGTCCAAGTTTCAACCATATGGCTCATGATTTGAGGTGAAGTTGAAGGATTTGAAGGTAGTTCTTCTTCACTCAATTATATCCAATGTACCAGTACCAGTGGTAGCAAAACAGCTCCAAGAACATGATACTACCACAGCCATTCTTGACAGTTGGTATAGTCTTCTTTGGTTTGAAAGTCTTACTTTGACGGCTCCAAAAACACTTCTTAACACTGTGGCCAGATAGCTCAATCTTTGTCTCATCTGACCATAAAACTTTCCTAGAAGACATTTGACCTGTCAATATGGGGAACTGCAAATTTCAGCCAAGTTGGAAGGTGCCAATTTTTAAGCAGGGGCTTTTTTCTTGTTCAGCACCCTCTAACTGTCAACACTGATGTAGTTTCCAGGTCAT